GCTTTGCACAAAGCAGCGCTCCACTCACAAACGCTGCTTTATCAGACATTACATGCAAGATGAAATTAAAATGACATCCAATTTTCTGAAGACAGTCCGTTTCCTTCAGAAATACAGTGATATAAAAACACCACAAGGTTGCACTGTCTGTTCGTTCACACAGGCACGAACTGATTGGCAGCTGCCTTAAGCTGAGCCTTTACCGATTACCTCCATTGATCAGAGCATTCGGCCCGGTCGTCTGTGAGTGACATCACCTCCCAATACAAACACGCCCATTAGTATAGTTCCGCCCCTCATATTGTGTGCGTATATATCGCACACCCCTACCGCTGAGGTATCTCAGATGAAAAGATCTCTTTATCTTGGCTTTTTATCCTTGCCGCCCCAAAGCAGAATTAATATAAGGTAATTATTTTACAACTTCTGTTATTTGAAAAATACAGAGGTCCGGACCTCGGGGACCTCAATGGTGGGTACGGCCCTGGCTGTGACATGTGTCATGACATTTATAAAGATTCTTTGAAAGAAGATTCTTTAAAGGTTTTATGAACAGAAAGGTGACTCTTGAGGGACCAGCACTTTAGATTAAGTCAGAAAACAAAAATGTGGTGAGTGAGACCTGGTGTGAGCTGCTAACAATGAGCTAAAGGGAAGATGGACTCCCAAAACTACTGTCATTCTTTAAACAGTGTTACAACCAGTCAAACAGTGAACCTGCCACAGGCTCTTCTCATAGCCTATAGTTCTATTCAGCAGTCATTGAATCTGTCCTATGCAGGGCCATTGAATGTTGGTCATGATTTTTGGGGAACCAAGTTTTCGGGGCCCCACAGAATGTACACGCTTCTGTCATCTCAGGTCTCAATGGTGTCATTATAATGGTTTCCTATGTGGAAGAGAGAACGTTCTTCCTTTTGTTATAATGCAATATTGTGCCAATGTTTTATTGAGAACATAATCTGTTACCTCAACAACATCCTCAAAATGATACACTTAAAATGTTATAGCTTTGTTAATACATTAATAGAACATTTAATAAAAATCATTCCATTATCTCATACCTCAATGACATGCTTATAATGCTTTTTTAATTTTTTTATTTTATTTATATATATATATATATATATATATATTAGGGCTGTCAATAGATTAATCTGATTAACATTTTTTATTGTACACTTCATGAAATTAAGCATAGTCCATTTATCTTGTTTCAAATGGTTATTTTGTCATCATTTGCTATATTCAGCAAAGTAAACCAAAAGATTGAAGGGTGATTCTCAAAAATCTGCATTTTCTTCAAGCGTTTCTCAGGATAAATGTAGATGTCTTTCCAAAAAAGGACTCCAAAAGAACTCCAAAACTCCAAAAGGATATTGCAAAAGGACACCAAAGAACCAAATGATATAAGGAGCCCATATGAGCACATATGAAAGAAAAAAATGCTAATAAATATATATATATATCTGAATTGTATAGTATGTGTACAGCACAACAGCAAATAGCTTTTTTTACATTTTAGAAAAGTCAAGTTGCTTAACCAAACAGGACCACATGATGATGCCAAAAAATCCCTAAACCAACCGCCTGCTGACTGCATATATCTAATACAGTACACGGATCCATTCAGAATAACTAAACACAGCAACATAAACATGACAAATCAAAACATTATCGTGAATGTGTGTGGAAACAACGTGAATGTACGGAAATGTCTGTGCCTGAGCATAAATACAATGTGCGATCAGTGCGTCAAGAGCACTCATACACCATTATTATAACGGACTCATGCGTGCTTACTGTACGACTCTCGTCTTTACCTTGATTGCAGTCTTCATCCATCAAAACTTTACTAGCGAAACTGGTTATCCAGTCGAGAAAACGTAGTTTGAGTCTCATCTGGCCATACAGCGGTGGGATGTGTTGACAATCCGTTCAACCTGTACTGGCTTGCGCTCTTCAGAAACAATCACAGAATATGACAGAGCTCGTGTTTAAAAGAAACACACTGGAATGAATAATTCACTGAAAACGCAACGCGAGTCTCTGTTCTCTCTGCAATCTATGATGTAATCAGCCTGGTTTCCTTTATATTAGCGCTGTTTTGGACTAATTGTTTGAATGCATTCTGGATCATTGGACTGAAAACTTTCCCGGAGTTTAGCATCTTAAAATTATCTGATCGCAAGCAGAGAAGCAACAGTAATTTTGCGTTAACTGCGTTAAATTATTTTAACCCGTTAAGGATTGTAAAATTAATCGCATGCTTAACGAACATTGACAGCCCTAATATATACGTATATATTTACATTTAGTCATTTAGCAGACGCTTTTATCCAAAGCCACTTACAAATGAGAACAATGGAAGCAATCAAAATCTACAGAAGAGCAATGATATACAAGTGCTCTAACAAGTCTCAGTTAGCTTAACGCAGTACATGTAGCAAGGTTTTTTAAAATAATATAATAAATAAAAAGAAAACAGATAGAATAGAAAACGAATAGAGCAAGCTAGTGTTAGATGTCTTTTTTGCGTTTGTTAATTGTATAATAAATGAAATGAAAACAGACAGTTTTATTATCAATCATAACTCCAAGGTTTCTGGCTGTTTTTGAAGGAGTTATGGTTGATGAGCCTAACTGAAAGGTGAAATTGTGATGAAACGATTTGATTTGGTTTGATGGAACCACAAGCAGTTCTGTCTTGGCAAGGTTTAGTTGAAGGTGATGATCCTTCATCCAGCAAGAAATGTCTGTTAGACAAGCTGAGATGCGTGCAGCTATCATCAGATCACCAGCATGGAATGAGAGGTAGAGTTGAGTGTCAATAGCATAGCAGTGATATGAAAAGCCATGTTTCTGAATTACAGAATGATGCCATGTAGACAGAGATGAGAAGTGGTTCAAGAACTGAGCCCTGAGGCACCCCAGTAGCGACTTGGACACCTCACCTCTCCAAGATACTTTGAAGGACCAATCTGATAGATAAGTATAGAAGATTTGGAATCCGCTCTTGCCTTGTCTTAGGGCTTCAACAACTGAGAGCAAGGCAGTCTCGGTTGAATGTCCACTTCTGAAACCAGACTGGTTGCTGTCGAGGAGGTTGTTCTGTGTGAGAAAGGCAGAGACTTGGTTGAACACAGCTTGTTCAAGTGTTTTTGCAATGAAAGGAAGAAGGGAAACCGGTCTGTAGTTCTCTAAAAGAGTTGGGTTAAGGGTGGGTTTCTTATATATATATATATATAATTTTTATATAATTTGTTACCTAAATAACATCCTCAAAACATCCTCAAAAAAAAGTTTTGTTAACACTTCCCATTCTGAGAACATTTTATGAAAACATTTTGGTATCTCAGACCTCAATGATATCCTTATAATGTTTTCCTAATGTGGCTGAGAGAATGTTCTTCATTTGTTATCATGAAACATTGTGCCAATGTTTTATTAAGAATATTGTATAATGTTAGCTAAAAAAATAAATAAATCCAAAACATCCCTAAAATGTTGCTGTAAACATGTTATATCTTTGTTCACACTTAACATTATATGAACGTTATTTGAAATGAAAAAACATCCTCAAAACATTCTTTACTTTACTTTACTTTACTTTACTTTTAGTCATTTAGCAGACGCTTTTATCCAAAGCGACTTACAAATAAGAAAAAGTAATTAAAACTAAAAGCTAAAACTCTATAAATACTATATATATACACACATTTAAGAAAATGAAATAAATTAAATAAAAATGACAAATGCATACAACAACAATTCAAAACTAAAACATTTAAATGAAAAAATAAAATAAAATAAAGCTAAAAACAATTCAAAAATATTAAAAGAGTAAAAAGGTATGAGTATAATAATGATTCTAACATAACACTAAGCCAAACACCAAAAAACAACTACATATGTGTATGTACATTTTTTAAACATTTCATTCAAACGTTTTATTTAAAACATTAAGCAAACTTGTACAGAATATTAGAAAATGTTCATAAATGTTCCCTGCTAGCTGGGGATAGATATTACCTTTTTACAAATCATTTGATGTTAAAACATTTATCACATCCCTTACAGAATTTTTTTTTAAATTTCTGATGTTTTCCATGTGATCACGTGTGGACAACAAAAAACCCAATGAATGCTGATGGATCTTTTTTTTTTATAGCAATTGCCTTCTTTCGTCATGATTCATTTTTATGCCCTTTCCCTTCACATTTCTCACTATTTTTTTTTAAAGATTTACTGGAAATTAAACAATTTTACTTTAATTTTAGACCTTATGGAAGAGAATAAGGAGAGTGAAGAAACTTGTCAGAACAAGAATTTTTTTCTTCAGTTTTTTAAACTGAAATAAAGACTCAAAACTGTTTTCCATACAAAGAACCTAAACTTAACATTTCTTTCACATGTGAGCAATGTGGGAAGAGTTTCCAACAAAAAGGAAACTTTCATTTAAATTCAATAAGTATTTGGTCATTAATATAATTTTTTGTAAAAAACAAAACAAATAAACAAACAAAAAGCAGCACTGTATTTGTTAAACTATTGTATCCATGTTCCTTGTTCATAGCCATGATATTCCAGAATGTGGCTGCAGTTATTATCGCTGTCAATTACAAATTTGCTAATGACATGGGATTTACTTTATGATCTGTTGAAAAAAGTTTTAATAAAAAAAACGGAACAATTTATGTTTCATTATCCAATAATAATAATAATAATAATAAAAACCTAAGCAATAATTGAAAAGTTTAATATTTCTCACTACGTGAACGTGACTGAAATTACATATGAAACGTGTGACGATCAGGATAAAAACAACAGCCACGTGTCACGCTCGAAGTGTCAATGGTCCACTCGTCGATAGGGGGCGGTAATGCACTTACATGTGTACGATCCGACGTAACACAAGAAGATGACGTCACCGCCGGCGTCATCAGTCAGCGTTTGTCTGCTGAGGTAGGACAATCAGTTCACTGTGCTTCATATAATTGTACAATTAGAAAAACAGTTTGGTAAAGCAGCATTTTACGGAGTCATTCTGTATCGTTTTCATCTGGTTCAGCGCTATTTGTGCGTCTTTTCTGGCATCTGCTGTCTGAAATAAACGTTCAGCCTAGCAGACAACAACAATGTGAGGAACGTTAATGCTAAATAGATTTAAGAGCAATAACGGTATTGTTTTTGAATGTCACTTGATCAAAAGTCAAAGTACGATCTGTGAGGGGAATTAATGGGAGTGGAACTTGATTTGTTTTCAAACAAATTCACATATTCTATGTATTTATTTTTTGGCTGTGGGTTAATGCATTTTTAGCATTACCTATTTTGACATGAAGAGGCTTGCTTGATTGTAACACTAAATTTGATGATGAAAGCATTGAATTGATAACTGGTTTATTTTTACAGCAATTCACCTACAGTTCAGTGTTTTCAAAGCAGTTTACCAATAAACGCTGGAATGTTCCCATTAGTCTAAAATTGAAGAAGATAAAGTTGGTGTGAGAAAATTGAAAACATGGATGAACCAGAGCCCTGCGGAATAAAACAGGAAGATATTGAACAACAAATAGGTTGGTGTTTGTTCTTAATTCGTTATGGTTATAAAACTTAAAGCTGCAAAAACAAATTTTGGAAGAAAAAAAGATTTTCTTCCTTAGTATTGTCTTGTTTTCTAGTATAAATATAAAAATATTCTTGAATCAGGATGCATTTACTTGAAGTAAAATGACTTGAGACACAATGTCTTGTTTCCTGAAAAAAATGTCCAAATTGTGTTTTGCTTAAAACAAGCAAAAACATCTGCCAATTGTGTAAGAAAAATAATCTTGTTTAGCCTTTGAATTAAGATTATTTTTTCTTGCCCCATTGGCAGATATTTTTTTGCTTGTTTTAAGCAAAAACTAACACAATTTGGATATTTTTTTCAGGAAACAAGACATTGTGTCGTAAGTAATTTTACTTGTCAAATAAATGCATCCTGATTCAAGAATTTTTTGATATTTATACTAAAAACAAGACAAAAATACTCTTGAAAAATACACTACTATACTACACTAAAAATACTAAAATATACACTACTGCTCAAACTTTGGGATCACTTTGAAATTTTATTGTTTTCCATGGAAACACACATGAAATTAGTCTGAATAGGAAATATAGCAAAAGAACAGGACATGCTGACATTGTCAGAGTTAGAAATAATGATTTTGATAGAAATGATGAATGTGTTCTTCAGACTTTGCCTTCATATAAAAAAACACCTTTTGCAGCAACTACAGCCTGGCAGACCTTAGTTATTCTAGCTGTCAATTTTTCAAGGTAATCTGATGTGATTTCACCCCATGCATCCTGGAGCACCTCCCACAAGATGGATTGGCTCGATGGAGTCTTCCTCCGGACTAGGGATGCTCCGATCAGGATTTTTGCAGCCGATACTGAGTACCGATTTCTTGTCATGGTGATCGGTCAATACTGATGCCGATTCTGATGCTTCAAGCTTTATATAACTGATATGTAAGCTCTCTGATCCCCGTTAACCTTTTTTTTCAGATAAAGTAATACTATAAATGTTGCCTTTGTTATATTTTTAAAGTAATTATGTAATATATGTAATGTAACTTGTTTTAACACAGTTCTAAATAATGACAAAGAAGTATTCATTATACAGTGAACATTTTAATATGCCTTTAAAATGGGGTTTATGCATATCATTATACTTAATATAAGACAAAACTAAATAAACAAAATGGAGCAGTCTGATGCAACCCACAAGGTTTATTTAAACATTGTCCAATAGCAAACTGTGAAGGACAAAATAAACATTAAATCTCCTAAAATGGAGAAGTCTGATATAACTTAAACATTGTCCAATACAAGTCGGAGCAGGACAAAATGAATAAAAAAAGCAACAAAAAATTTTTTTTTAAATCCCAAAAGAACAAATTGTTATAATTTGTATTAAACATTGTCCAATGTTCGAGAGAGAACAAAATAAATAAAAATATTTAAACTCCAACATGGAGAAGTCTGGTGTAACTCATATGGTTTAATTAAACACTGTCCAATATAAGACTGAAGAGGAAAAAATAAATAGAATCATTTAAACTCCAAAAAGAACAAAATGGAGTAGTCTGATACAAAAAATAAATAAAAACTAACAGGAATCTGATTTAAGTGATTGTCAAGCGAGTAGTCCTTTGGCCCCTTCCTACTTAATTAGGTAAGGCAAGTTTTTCTTTATGAAAAACACCAGGGAATCTCCAGATTTTGGGATGACAGGTACAGATTTATCTCAGGTGCTGCCGAATCTCTTTGGCTGTAAGCATCACTGCCACTGGTGTCCTTGAGAATTTCCTCATGCATCTGCTGTAAAGAACTAGATGGAAGAGCTTTTAGTGTCGCCACAGTTTCTCCCATCTCCCATCTTCTTACCCGCCTCACTCGTACATCCAGCGCTTCCCCGAGCAGTCTGTGTGCCTCTGGTTTTATCTGATCATCATAATATCTATTCTTGTATCTTTTTTTAGAGAAGGAAAACATAACCATCATTGCTAAATTTCAATTACATTAGCCTAAAATTATACTATACAATTTCATGTAATACTTTCACACACTACAACACATTTGTCACACAAAGCCTTTTTTTGTTTTACAGTTTTTTTTAACTGCTTTGGCGCAATTTTCACAAGCAACTGGTACATTTTCAAGACTCTTAGTACTAATATCCCAACAGATCATCAAAAGTGCACTGTTTTCAAACATTTCAGCATATTTTCAGTACAATACACACAATTAGTACAATACACACAATCACAAAATATCCTTTTCACTACACAAAATAAGTGTTTCATCTATATAAATGTTTCATTCACAGTAACTGCCTTTCATAAAGCTATTACTATCAAACTTTTCATTAGCATGACTTCTCATTCAGTTTAATACATTTATCTATTATTTAATCTAGCTCATTTTAATGGTTAATCAGTGAATCATTTGGTGCATCTATAAATATAGATTCAAAAGATATTTTAGTTTCTATAGAATGTGATTGCAATTTAGGGATAACCAAATGCACTGAATTATTTTTACACTAAAAGTGATTTATCTAAGATGATAACCACTATTTTGTAAGGGTGTGTGTGGTTCAGGTAAACCCTATTTTATGGGGACAAACTGTCCCCACAAAAATAGCAATATCTGAAATCATTGTCCTTTTTTGGGGCCAATGAGAAAAAAATTAATTTTCGTAAGGGTTAGTGTAGGGGGAGATAGTATAAAACCCATTACTCCTATGGATTGAACCATAATGATAGGAAAATCCAACGCTCTCCATTGACTGTCTATTGCGGGAAGCTGCCGCCTTGTCATCTCTGACATAACAAAAAACAGAGCAATGCCTATAAGCTGCTATGTGACAAGCTGTACAGTAAACAAGCTATAAAAGCCAGAACTATGTTTTTGTAAGCTGTCGACCCAAAAAACGAGCGTTTAGGACACAAATAGTTGTAGATGTCGGGGTATTTCACGTTGAGCCATTCAGTTGGATAATTTCTCAAACAAAAGGAAGGTTAGGAAAAGGGGCACTGACATAGACCAATAAAATTTAGTTTCTTAATATTTCTCCTCCCCTCAGGTTCACATAGGGTGGTGAAATAATCCTTTGACATGGTTAAAAATAATGAATGGTCTTGTCGTCGATTACGTTTCTCTCCAGTGGGTGCGGTTCTCAGAGTAATATGACACGTTGCGCTCTACTTTTGTGTCCTAAACGCACATTTTTTTGGGTCGACAGCTTATAAAAACGTAGTTCTGGCATTTTTAGCTTGTTTACTGTACACCTTGTCACACAGCAGCTTTTAGGCATTGCTCTGTTTTTTGTTATAAGTCAGAAATGACAAGGAGGCAGCTTCCCGCAATAGACAGTCAATGGAGAGCGTTGGATTTTCCTATCATTATGGTTCAATCCATAGGAGTAATGGGTTTTATACTATCTCCCCCTACACTAACCCTTACGAAAATTAATTTTTTTCTCATTGGCCCCAAAAAAGGACAATGATTTCAGATATTGCTATTTTTGTGGGGACAGTTTGTCCCCATAAAATAGGGTTTACCTGAACCACACACACCCTTACAAAATAGTGGTTATCATCTTAGATAAATCACTTTTAGTGTAAAAATAATTCAGTGCATTTGGTTATCCCTAAATTGCAATCACATTCTATAGAAACTAAAATATCTTTTGAATCTATATTTATAGATGCACCAAATGATTCACTGATTAACCATTAAAATGAGCTAGATTAAATAATAGATAAATGTATTAAACTGAATGAGAAGTCATGACAACAAAGGTGATTTGAAACTTGAATCTTGCATTGTTTGCTCTTGAATGAACTGATTGTTAAAAAGTACTAAATTGAAAGATTTTTTTTTCTGTTGTGTTTTGGTTATTAATTCAAATGTTGATCAATCACAATGATCTTGTGTTTTGAAACAATGATGAAAATATGTGCAACTACAATGAAATCATGAGATCAGGTTTTGAAAGAATGTCAAGCGGTGTTACAAGTGTGATCGGTTTAAAGGTTTGTACTAAGTTTTGAAAATGTATACTTTACTTGTGAAAATAGTATTAAACCAATAAAAAAAATTGTTAATTTAGAAAAAAAACACTGAATAGACATTACAAAAAAGCAGCTGAAATATAAGTAGCTTTAGAAAGAAATATTTTATTTTAACATACAAAAATACAAATAGTGAAATATGACATTATTTAAAAAAAATAAACGATACTCTAAATATAAAACTAAAAGCACCAGTAGGTGGTGGCAAATCCCTGTCTTAAGTGAGTCATGCATTCATTCATTCATTCATTCAAAGGATTTGTTCAAGTGGCTGATTCATTCAGAAATGAACTGCCTTTATGAATGGTTCACTGAATCATTGATTCAGTCGATTCATTTAAAAACGTTGATTCATTTAAAAACATGGATTCATTAATGAAAAACCACTGTGTTGATCAGAGACGCACAACAGTTCTCCTTGGGCTTTATATGGCGAAATTACTGACAATGTGTCTAAAATGTAATTATGTGAATTCTTTACCTTATCTTCATTTTTAGATAAAAACTTTTATGTAACCTATTTTTGTCTTTCTACCAGTACCAGCCAATGATGATTCTGATAGAAAACAGGCAGTATTTGTTATAGTAACACATGCAACTTTCACGTGCATCTGACTGACAGAACCGTGAAATAAATATTTCAAAAATATTTTAGTAAATAAATACTGGGGGGATCAAGCCTTCTTTAGGGGGTCAGACCCCCCCAAACCTCCCTGTAATTCGCACCCTGCATAAATTCATCCTATATAATGTAATACAATGTTAAAAACATTGTGAAAATATAACCTTGATATATTTAATAGCCTATTGACTGAATAAGACCATTTCAAAGATTAAAATCATAGGGAAATTAATTTAAAAAATGAAACTCTGATGTTGGATAACCTTACAACAGCTTCGAGAAGTGTTTGTTTCTATGTTTTTACTCCATGGTCCGAGTCGGAATCTCTCTCAAGGAGACGCTTCAGGGCTCTGATAGGTGGGATGACATCAGCCACAGATGATCTTAATGAGCTAATCTCTTTGGTCAACTCTTCAGAAGGTGCAAGAATGGAAACCATATTTTCAATTAATTTACATTTAGTCATTTAGCAGATGCTTTTATCCAAAGCGACTTACAAATGAGGACAATAAAAGCAGTCAAAACGAACAAAAGAGCAACAATATATAGGTGCAAATGACAAGTCTCGGTTAGCCTAACGCAGTACACGTAGCAAGGTGTATATATATATATATATAGTTATTGAAGATGAAGATGGTTAAGGACTCGGCTCACATAAGACATAACCGAGTGCGTTTACGTGAATACTCGTCAAAACAAACAATTCGACATTATTTTGTGTGTATTTCTCCGTTCATGAGACGCGATAGAAAAAATAGAAAGCTAGTGTTTGTTTGTTTGTTTGGGGTTTTTTTATTAAAAAAAGAAGATAAATATAAAATAGAATTAAAATAGAATAGAAAGTGCTAGAGTTATAGGGTCAAATAAATGTGGAACAGATGTGTTTTTAGTCGTTTCTTGAAGATGGTTAAGGACTCAGCTGCTTGTATTGATTTGGGCAAGTCATTCCACCAGGAGGGAACAGTTAATGAAAAAGTCAGTGAAAGTGATTTTGTGCCTCTTTGAGATGAACAATAATACGCCGTTCACTTGCAGAATGCAAGCTTCTAGAGGGCACATAACTAAAGTAATGAATTTAGGTAAAGGGGTGCAGAGCCAGTGGTGGTTTTGTAGGCAAACAGTAATGCCTTGAATTTAATGCGAGCAGCTACTGGTAGCCAGTGCAAATTGATGAACAGAGATCGGTTAAGTTTAGTGAGCACCGATCGAGTCATAAAATGTGATTATCAGCCGATGCCGATCGATCGGAGCATCCCTACTCCATACCATACGGTCAAGCTGCTCCACAACAGCTCAATAGGGTTCAGATCTGGAGACTGTGCTGGCCACTCCATTACAGTCAGAATTCCAGCTGACTGCTTATTCTTCAAATATTGCTGACACATTTTGGAGGTGTGTTTTGGGTCATTATCCTGTTGTAGGATGAAATTGGCCCCAATCATGTGCTGTCCACTGGGTATGGCATGGCGTTACAAACTCTTGTGATAGCTTTCCTTCCTCAAGGTCCCTTCCACTCTGTGCAAATCTCCTATTTTACCACCTCCAAAGCACCCCCAGACCATCACGCTGCCTCCACCATGTATTGTTCTAGCATCTTTTCATTTTGTTCTGCATCTCACAAATGTTCTTCTGTTTGATCCAAAGACCTCAAATTTGGACTCATCTGTCCACAACACCTTCTTCCAGTTTTCCAGTGTCCAATGTCTGTGCTCTTTTGCCCATCTCAGTATTTTGTTTTTATTGGCCAGTCTGAGATACGGCTTTTTCTTGGCAATTCTGCCATGAAGTCTAGCATCCTGAAGTCTGTTGATGTGGACACTGGTGTTTGACGGGTACTATTTAGTGCAGCTGCCAGTTGAGGACCTGTGAGGCGTCTTTGTCTTAAACTACACACTCTCAGATATTTGTCTTCTTGCACAGTTGTGCATCGGGGCCTCCCACTCCCTTTTCTGTCCTTGTTAGAGCCAGTTTGTGCTGCTCTCTGAAGGGAGTAGTTAACAGCATGATAAGAAATTTTATGTTTCCTTGCAATTTCTCGCATTGAGTAGCCTTCCTTTCTAAGGACAACAATAGACTGACGGGTCTCTAATGAAAGTTTGTTCTTTGAGCCTGTAAACAAACAAACAACCACTGATGTTCAGATACTAAACTAACCTAAAGAATGCCATGCTCCCTTGTTTGCTCTATTAGTACAACGGTTCTCAGCTGTGCAACACAATTGCAAAAGGGTTTTCTCATAATCAATTAGCCTTATAAAATGATTAACTTGAATTAGCAGCCCTACCAGGTGATTGATGCAGAGGACTGACAATTGCTAATAATAGGCCTCTATGCAAAAATGTAGATCATTCTTAAACAATTAAAATTAATCAGATAATTTTTTGTGAAATGGATAAAATTGTTTGTGAATTGCATGAAAATGTTTTTCTTTGGAAAACAAAACAATTCGCAAGTGATCCCAAACTTTTGAGCGGCAGTGTATATTTTGTTTATATTCTAGGTCAATGATTGATTGATTGATTTTTGTTCATTAAAGCTGCAGTACAGAAAAGTTTTTTTTAAAGCAAATAATATCCAGGTAACTATTCATGAATTGGGCACAAAATGGAGCCTAGAACTCAATTTTCTTACCAAATATTATCTGAACCATTTTATATTTATTTATATTACTAAAATTTTAAACATTTTACATCCCTGACTTAAAATATAATTAATGAAATATATAGTTAATAGTTCTCATTACAAAAATGTGCAATCTGTAATGTTTAAAAATAATATTTCAGTAATTCAATTGAATGCATCGGAACGTTCATATTTCTACTGTCAGGATTCACATCATTTTCCTTTGACATTTCTCTCTTTGATTCTTAATTTAAGTTTATTTATTTTAGTAATGTTTTAGTGATTTGCTGAAAATCAAACTTTTGAAACATTTGAAACTTTTTTTTACTTTCATTTTAGACCTGATAGAAGAGAACAAGGAGATTGAAGAACTTGTTGAAGCGGGGGAGAAACATCTGGTCAAAACTGAAGAGATATCCAGGAGTTCCTCATTGAAAAACGACAATATATGTTTCACTTGCTTTCACTGTGGAAAGAGTTTCTCATGCAAGCAAAATCTTGAGCTTGACATAATATTTCATTTTGGAGGGAAGCCATATGCATGTGATGAGTGCGAGAAGATTTTCACAATAAAAGGAAACCTAATTGAACACATAAAAATTCACACTGCAGAGAAGCCACACACATGGGATCAATGTGGGAAGAGTTTCCCACAAAAACAAAACCTTGATGAACATAAGAAAATCCACACTCTGGAAAGGCCATGCGAATGTAATCAATGTGGGACGAGTTTCCCATATAAAGGAAACCTTGACAAACACATGAGGATCCACACTGGAGAAAAGCCGCACAAATGTGATCAATGTGGGAAGAGTTTCGCACAAAAAGGAAACCTTAAAGTACACATGAATATTCACACTGGAGAGAAACCATATGCATGTGATCAGTGTGGGAAGAGTTTCACACATAAAGGAAACCTTATCGTACACAAGAAAATCCACACTGGAGAGAAACCATATGCATGTGATCAGTGTGGGAAGTGTTTCATACAAAAAGTGCCTTTTAATGATCACATGAAAATCCACAGTGGAGAGAAACCATATGCATGTGATCAGTGCGGAAAGAGTTTCGCACAAAAAAGAAACCTTAATGAACACATGAAAGTCCACACTGGGGAGAAGCCATTCACATGTGATCAGTGTGGGAAGAGATTCACACATAAAGGTAATCTTAATGAACACATGAAAATCCACACTGGAGAGAAGCCATATGCATGTGAACAGTGCGGGAAGTGTTTCATACATAAAACAAGCCTTAATGAACACATAACAATTCACACAGGAGAGAAACCGCACACGTGTGCTCAATGTGGGAAGAGTTATGCACAAAAAGGAGGCCTTAAAGAACACATGAAAATCCACACTGGAGAAAAGCCATACACATGTGATCAATGTGGGAAGAGTTTCAGAAAATCAGGCGTTTTTAAAGTGCATCTGCTTAGTCATTCTAGAGAAAGGCTATATAGCTGTGATCAATGCGGTAAAAAGTTTTTTAGGGCAGATTTTCTGAAGGATCACCTTAAAGTTCATACAAAGGAGAAGCCTTATGTATGTTCTTTGTGTGGAAAGAGTTTTAGTCAGATGGGTACTTTAAAATTACACCAGAAAAGACACAGCGGTGTGAAGGATCATGTTTGCTCTAAATGTGGTAAGGCTTTTTTTACAGATGGTGCACTGAAAGTGCACAGGACAGTTCACACTAGAGAAACACCTTACAAGTGTTCACACTGTGACAAGAGCTTCAAACGCTCAGAATATCTGAGGATACATGAGAGGATCCACACTGGAGAGAAGCCGTATCACTGCCCAACATGTGGGAAGAGTTACACTCATTTTTCTTCTCTAACCGCTCATAAAAAAACCCACATGTCTGAAATGATAGAGTAATTACAGAGTAGTAGTTCGAGTTCTGATCTGTAAGACTGCATAAAGCAAGTATATTGATAATTGATTAATCAAAGATTATTAGAACAAGTAATGAACTGATTGATTATTTCAGAAGAATATTTGAAGAGTTCATTTGCAAAAACGGATAACTCTGTGATAATGATTTATTATCATTATTCATAACAGTTTTCCCCCAGGCCATATACCACCTGAACAACACATAACACCTCAGTACTGTACATCTGTAAATAACTCCTCAAACCTTCATCTGTAAATAGCACATATGCACATTTACAGTTCTGTCAATGGACATTTTTCCTTTTTCTGTATATTTTTATTACTATTGTTATTTAATATTTGAGAGAGTAGACACATTATAGTGTTTTATTACCTTAATTTTATGTATCTCTGAACTATGTTTGTACTTTCTGTACTGGAAGCTCCTAACACCAAGACAAATTGCTTGTGTGTGTAAACACAACTGGCAATGAAGCTCTTTCTGATTCTGATTCCGATTAATTTGTCTTTCTATGTTTTTAAATTTATATCACTTAGGGTGGGTTGCACCAACAAGGATTAAATTAAGCAAAGTTTACAGCAAATCAAGGATTTGTTGATGGGTTTTATTTTAAATTAAGTTGTGTTGCACCACTTAATTTTAAACACAGATTAACAAATCGGGATTAGAATTCTAACCTGTGATTAAAATCTTCAGCTACGATAAATTTTCTACACCATGATGAATTCACCATGTAATTAAACAGCAACAGTGTTAATATTCCTTATCCTAAAACTGTCTCTGACATAAGTTGTTTTGTCGATAAAGGAAATAAACTTGTGAAATGCCAGCCGTCTTTATAAACTGCTATGTAAAGAGACCGTTGATCAAACATCTGATCAAGCAAGCAATGAAAACATTGAGGTAGTGCATACGGATTTACATAGATCGATTACAAAACTATACGGGTATTCAAGGGCAGGCTTTAAGATGGTTTAGATCCTACCTGTCCGATCGCTACCACTTTGTTTATTTAAACGGGGAGTCATCTCAATTATCACCAGTAAAATATGGAGTGCCACAAGGATCTGTCCTAGGTCCTCTGCTATTTTCAATCTACATGTTGCCCCTTGGTAATATTATCAGAAAATACAGGATTAGTTTTCACTGTTATATAGTTGAGTATCATCAGCATATCTCAACAAGACCAGATGAAACTTGTACTGCAGTTATATCTGATCAAATGCATTATTACTCTTTAGCTTGGTTTAAACAAATCAATTTTGGTTGGTTGGAAAAATCAGCTTTGCTAATTATGTCTCTATTTATTTCTCTGTTTTTGCGTAACTAGGATTAACCAGGGGCGATTCTATGATTTTCATTTTAGGGGGGCTCAGCCCCCAATCACTGTAAAATCTAATTAGTTGGGCTTACTTAAAAAAAGCATGCAAACCGATTGCCTTGAAAAAACGAAGTAAAGTGAAATAGGAATAGTATGTAGGAATAGATGCTATCGGTATTGACAAATGTTTAGTATAGTTTACTTACACAAGAGTTCTAGTAACTAAAAAAGACCTGTAGGGGGTACTTGATCCTTTCATTTAGGTTTACTCATGACTTAGTATAGCTACTCACTGACTCCCAGAGAGCATTGCGGCAGAATAAATTATGCAGTTGCTTTGTTTTACAGTTGTTTTTATTTGCTAATTTTATTTGCTGTCTTGTGTCAGTAGTAGCACAACAAAAAGAGCAAATAAAATGGTTATTGTTACAATTAATAAAAATAAATGAAATTGAATTGTTACCATTGTTGTGATTCGCGTGCTGAATGTTCAAGTCTGTGTGTGACTTTAGAATATTACTACACACTATATAAGGATTATATAAACCCAATTATATGCTTCTTAAGGTATTTATGAAAACTAAAATTTGCAAAAGTTCATTGACTATCACAAGCACATAAAAATTAGAAGAATAATTAGAAGATAGGTCATCTTCAAAAAGCAACCTATATATTACTTTTCTTCGCTTGAGACCAAATTACTCTGATTTCATATTGCACTTCTGCATTAACAGAAAGATAATTATAATAACATAAATGAAGTTCCAAGTGCCCAATCAAAGGGAGCGCTAATCACTATAATGGGGAGTTTAAAAAAATAAAAATCAACATCAATTGAATATGAAGTCAGCTTATGTGATGTTCTCTCAAATATTTCAGTTATATTGAGAATTCAACATTCAAGGTGACTTTGGGGAACGAGTGAATGCAACTACTGAAAGATAACTGCAGACATGGAGGAAATGAGTGAAAGGTCTATTAAGATTTGTTTTCTTTTCTTCTGTTGTTATGTTGCACATTAGCAACATATTAGTGCACTGCTGCCTCTCACTGCTTTATTAATGTCATTGGTTCCTTTGTGGCTACTATATATAAATAAAATTTGACTAATAGGGGTGGTTTACTAAACTTATTGCAGTATTGCTTAGATAGGCATAACATTGGAGTATTGAATAAGCCAAATACAAGTCTTCCTGATCTCTCTCTCTCACACACACACACGTTTATTGTAGTTACACAAACAATTTTACTGTTTGCTTTTCTAGTACAACCCTCTTTCTTTAGCTCAAGTATGCAAACCTCTTTGCACATGCACTGTAATATGTATTATATTGAAAGTTACATTTTCAAATGAAAATGGCAACATGATCGTTTCATAAAGTATTAGTTCATCTATATGAACTTAAGGCCTAAGGGTTTCATTTTCGCTGGAGGAAACAGCTGTAGTGTGATGAGGGAACGCAGCGAGAATGCAACTACTGAAAGATAACTGCAGACATGGAGGAAATGAGTGAAAGGTCTATTAAGATTTGTTTTCTTTTCTTCTGTTGTTATGTTGCACATTAGCAACATAGTGCACTGCTGCCTCTCACTGCTTTATTAATGTCATTGGTTCCTTTGTGGCTACTTGAATATTAAGTAAGTGTCACTCAAAACAGTAAGTAAATTGTTTTATTTGCCTTGAAAGTTGCTGGAACTTAATAAAACCTAGTAAGTATAACAACTAAGTAAAGATAACTAATATCTCTCTCTCACACACACACACACGTTTATTGTAGTTACACAAACAATTTTACTGTTTGCTTTTCTAGTACAACCCTCTTTCTTTAGCTCAAGTATGCAAACCTCTTTGCACATGCACTGTAATATGTATTATATTGAAAGTTACATTTTCAAATGAAAATGGCAACATGATCGTTTCATAAAGTATTAGTTCATCTATATGAACTTAAGGCCTAAGGGTTTCATTTTCGCTGGAGGAAACAGCTGTAGTGTGATGAGGGAACGCAGCGAAAACTTTACAGTAGTTGGGAAACTGATTGCTCCCCCATGATATTTTGTAAACTGTATTTATAACAAAGAGCTGCACAGTTGCAGATATTATAACAATCTATCGATAAACACACACCTGTCCTCTGTTTCTCGCTCTGCGTCGCCGCGGTCTGCGGATTGAAGAATGCGCTGAAAGATGGGGAGGAGCCGAAGTCTGCCGCTGTTTTCATATGAAATATGACATTTAAAGGGGACTGAGGCGATCAAGAATTTATCACGATGGAGCTGATCGCAAAATTTTGGGCTATAGCCCCCGTAAAAATGGCCTAGCAACGCCCATGGGATTTACACAATCTTCAGTCTGGATCCAGAACACCTGAGAAGAGATGATGCCAACCCTGAAACAACATACAGAACTACCAGATTTTGCTATAAGTTTGATTGTGTAGTGTAGCTACAGGGGGTAAATTACACTATGAATACCAAAACATAATAATACTGACTATGCCACCCCTTTAAAGTAAGGGAAACTGAATACTTGTTAAAAAATCTGACACACAGGTTCGTTACCATGGAGAGCAGAGACATAGGTATCAATATACAAAATGTTTATTAAGTTCACAATAATCCGATAAAACACAAAAAAGACAAAAATGTAGCTCAAATGAGCTAAACAACCACGGCTCAGTACACCACATAAAGACAAGTAACTAGAACGACTAAGTAGCTGGGTAGGCTAGCTGTAGAGTGATTATTCTTAAAGGGGTCATATGATGCTATTTTAAAGATCATTATTTTGTGTATTTGGTGTAACTGAATATGTTGACATGCTTTAATGTTTGTAGCGTCTGGACCACTCAAACACACAATATATATTTTGTTAGCTAGATTTAACAAATACTCTGTAACACCCCAGGAAGCCGAACAGGCCCCTGGTTCCATGGTAACCCTGACACCCGATACATTTACGACCTCCTGGAATTTAGGTGAAGAAAATCGCTTCCTTGCCCATAGGGAAAATCCACAAGGGAAGGACTTTTCTTTGCTAATTAATTAATAGGAAAACCTTTCTTTGAATGAACACACATGATCCTTCAGGTCATTGGGTATATTATTGTCATTGTGTATTTTGTCTTTGAAATTGTATACTGTTATGCAGGCTTATAATCGAAACACACTCCTGTCAGCTTACATATATATAACTCTACCATGTTTAGTACCTATGAATTCGTATTCGGATGATCTAATTGAGAGTCTATATTGTATGTTTACACCTACGCAACATATTAGTGTTCTAAGAGTCTGTAATAATTGTTATACAAGTTTCATATGCAAATTACCATGCTTTCAAACAAAGGGCCATAAAAACACCCCAGTATCTCACTTCTTAGAATTGACAAGACAGTTGACCCTGAGAGGTCAGCTAAATATCTACAGCGGATCTAAAATATTCATAATTAATTATAACTAGATATAATTAATTATTCATATTTCCCATGAGCTGATTCGATACATGTTCAAAAAACACATTATTTTTCAAATACTGTACATTATTGTAGGTCCTCTATGCCCCGCCTCTCTCAAACACATTGTTTTCAACAAAGTCCCCTCCTTTGACAAGCGCAGTCTGCTCTGATTGGCCAGCTGACCCAGTGCGATTGGCCGAACACCACAAGCACGCGTTGGAAATGTAACACCCCTTACCATAATCGTGAGCATCATCTTTAAAGTAAATATCAAGACAGTTAATAATGTCGTTAGTTTTACCATCAGTTCAAGCCCAAAAGGGCAACAGAGTCGCATGACTGACACAGTGATGATGCAGTACACAAGCCGTGGTTAAGACAGCTGACGTGCTATGATTTCTGACAAGCAGTTCACTCTCCTGTGATGTGACCCTGTTCCCCTCACACACACACACACGATGTGTTACTCTGCGCTGCGCAAAACTCCGCATTTGAACAGTCAATGGCAAATACTTAAACTAG